AAGAAAGCTTCCCCACTTATCTTGGAGTAACATTTGATAAAAGGCTCACATGGAGCAAACATATAGAAAATGTAGAAGGGAAGGCCAGGAGACGACTAGGCCTACTTAGAAAATTGGCAGGTACAGGATGGGGAGCAAATGGAAAAACCCTAAAGAAAGTTTATAATGGAGCGATAAGACCCCACTTGGAGTTTGGTGCAACAGCATGGTCAACAGCTGCTAATTCCCACCTACAATCGTTAGACAGAGTGCAAAATCAAGCTCTTAGACTCATCACAGGATCCATGAAAACTGCACCAATCCTGAAGATGCAGAAAATAACTGCAATGCAGACATTGTCCTATAGAAGAGACACTAAAAAACTATGATCCAGATGGAGAAGTTTAATAGTATGCAGTCACACCCAATGAATAAAAGGTTAGATGATCTGGCATTAGGGCGTCTCAAACGTAGCAGCTTTGTCCATCGGGGAAAAAGACTTAGAAGACAGTACCAAGCTGATCTACCTATTAGAACAACACCGCTGAAACCTACCCTATACCCTGTACCTTGGGAGCAAGTCAGTGATACAATACAGATAATGACTTCAGTCAATGGATTCACAACTGGAGATGAGTCCAATGATCTTCAAAAACGAACAGCTGCTCTTAGCATGATTCATGAAAACTATCCCGAACAGTCATGGATACATATTTACACAGATGGATCAGCAACCAGCGCGGTTAAAAATGGGGGTGCTGGAGTCTTTATTACATACCCAGGCAACCACCGCCACACAAAGTGGATACCCACTGGTAAATTCTGTTCCAACTACACAGCAGAGATTGTAGCACTAGAGCAGGCTGCCGAAATGTTACACAACACCAGTTCTGACTGCCACCAAGTGGTTATATTCACAGATGCGCTTTCAGTGCTTCAAGCCCTCAAGAGTGGCAAACTCCCTCACTTGAGATCTAAACTTGGCAAGGTGGCTGCCCAAAAGTGTACTGTACTCCAGTGGGTGCCATCCCACTGTGGTATACCAGGAAACGAAACCGCAGATAAACTTGCTAAAAAAGGGGCAGAATGTGACCAAGAAGAGAATGCAGTAACATACTATGAGAAGAAAAGGGCCATCCAGGCTATCAGAAGTGAACAGAGTCTGGCCAGAGATGACTACCACTTACTTGACCGGCATGGGCAGGTCATTGTCCTACGTCTCAGGACAGGACATAACAAACTTAACCAGCATATGCACAGGCTTCGTCTAAGTAGTTCACCTTTTTGCCCTTGTGGGCTATGTGTGCAGACTACAGAACATGTCCTGCAAGACTGTCCCTTGTTCAGCCCATTAAGAAAGGAATACTGGCCCAGTGAGTCACCACTGTACACAAAGTTGTATGGGACTAAAAATGAACTCATTAAAACAGTCAAGTTTATCACAAGAACCTGTCTGTCGGTGTAAATCAGAAAGCGAACACAAGAAGAAGAAGAAGAACTATAGACGTAACCATCATCGTCGTCGTCGTCATCATCGTCGTAGTCATCATCATCATCGTCATCGTCGTCATTATCCCATAACACTGAGTGTCGTTGGGTCACCAGTTGTTGACTGCCTGATCAACTCCCTCCACCTTTGGCGGTCAGATGTGATGGACTTGGTGACCGCATGCCTTAAACCTGTCCAGTCAGTCCAGTTCTTTCTTGGTCGGCCTCCTCCCCTCCACCTTTGTGTTTAAGAGGTGGTTGGATCTGATCACTTGTCCACATCATTGCATTTTCCGTCTTTTCGCTGTAGTTAGAAGAGGTTCATAGCTGCCAGTGGATTGGTAATCATTTTGTCGAACCTCATTGCAGACGTAACGAGGTAATTTGAAACATGTACTTAGCACAACAAATCACAAACATCGCACCGCTAGATTTCACACCCTCCATCGCGCGCACGCACACGCACACACACACAGTTGAAAATAATGCGTTTCTTGTTTTGGTTCTCCTAGGCCCCCCCCCCCATCTCTCTCTGTCTCTGTCTCTCTCTCTCTCTCTCTCTCTCTCTCTCTCTCTCTCTCTCTCTCTCTCTCTCTCTCTCTCTCTCTCTCTCTCTTCAATTTGTAACCCTTTGAAAATAAAGTTCCATGGTTCGTTCGTTCTCTCGATCGCACACACACCTACAGACATAGCAAAGTAATTTAATGCATGCATTGAATTCTAGCTACAGCTACAGTGGTCGCCTGTGGATCCGAAAGTAGTGGGTTCAAATCCTATCAGTGCTGGACTAAAAAAAAAAAATACCTTGGCTACCAGATTGACCTAGCCTAAAATACGTGGTAAAGTCATGGGAAGTAAAGGCGACCATATATGCACAGCACGTCCGAAGACGTGGAAAAAAGGGTCCTTTAACTTCAGTTCATTACAGGCTTAACATCTCTAACACTCTATCGCCACATTTCACAAACACCGATCTCACCCCTCTTCCCCCACAAACTTGACGGCGGATTTTAGCGGCGTTCTAGTCACGCAAGGTCACTGCAGTTTCAGTTTGAGAGAGGCCGGTTGCCAAGGTGAATGTCGCCGGTCCGACTGTCACATTAGGAACAGGAAATCGTCTGTTAGCCCAGTGCTGTTTTCCTCTCGCATTTGCGGGTTTGACAAGTGATGTAATGTGGATATATAAGTGCACAGCCGAGGGTCCATTCTCTTGCTGGCTGACGAGACGGAAAATGTGGAGGGGTTTTCGGATACCTGGTTGTGTTTTACTTATATGTAGGTGGGTTTTTACTTATGTCTGATTTAGATGGAGTTTGACTGCTTTCTTGGTGGCTTTTACAAGGTCCGACAATTTAGTAATGAGACTTATTTTATTATGCCCAAGACAAAAATGCCATCTATGAAGCAAAGCATGGAATCTAAAGAGGCAACATTCATCTATGATCTGGCAACTTTTCATCGCCGCTCGATAAGCAGAGAACAAAACAAACCATCATTTTGTTGACCTAATCAGAAGTGCAGCCGACCGTCTAGCCGTCTAGAAAGCAATGGCAAACTTCTGGACGTAAATTTGCCAAGAAAAACCACACAACAGTCAGGGGCTGTTGGGGTTGGTTCTGCAACTTCCTGTAAAGGATACGCAACCAGTCTCCCAATCAGAAGGGCATTGTTACGTAATCAGCACGGAGCAAAAAGCTAACATTAAATTCTGTTTAAAAATCAGAAAAAAGCCCAACTGAAACAGTTGAATTGATGCAAAAAATGTCTGCGGATAATTGTTTATCTCGTGCACACATTTTCAGGTGGTATTCAGGATTCAAAAGTGGTGTGGAAATGATTACTAATGCACCTAGACCTGGACGCCAAATTTCTGTTCGTTATGATGAACTCATTGCTAAAGTCTGAGAACGGATACAAGAAGATCATTGTTTTACTGTGAGGATCATGGCAGATGGATCTGGTGTTAAGAAAGACCATTCATAACATTCTAGTGCAAGATTTTGGCAAGAAAAAAGTTGCCTGTCGGTTTGTACCACATTAGTTGTCTGATGACCAAAAACATCAGCGGGTTGAATACCCAAGGGACATCATCAAAACAATAATTTTTGGCCCAAAAATAATTGTGTGTTCTCAGCCTTCCACCACATTCCCCAGATTTGTCTCCTTGTGATTATATTCTATTCCCAAAATTAAAGTTACGATTGAAAGGACGCTTCTTTAATGATATTGATGACATCCAAAGGGCCGTAACATTGACTTAAAGGGTCATAACAACAGAAGAACTACAGAGGTCGTTTCTGTGTTTGTTAGATCGTGCCACTTGCTGTATCAATGCACAAGGGGCTTACTTTGAATAAAATACAGGTTATATCATCAACTGTTTGATTTTTTAAATTTTTATGGAATCAGTCTCATTACTTAATTGTCGGACTTTGTATCTTGGTTTTACTGAGATCTTGGCCCCTTTTACTTATATCTTGATGGCTTTCTCTTATAGCTAGTGGCCTTTCCACCTTATATCTAGGTGTCTTTCCACCTTGCATCTAGTTGTCTTTCTTCCTTATATTTAGGTGGCTTTTACTGTTACCTGGGTGGCTTGATACACTCAATACGCCCGAAGGCGTAGACAAAAAAAAAAGACTCTTTACTTGTTGAATCAGTGGTTTTTGTACAAATATTTAAAAGCGTTACTTAGGTAACTGTGTGGTTTTACTTACATCTGGGTTCTGTCTACATGTATGTGGCGTCTGCAAGTCAGGGTTGGCAGAGGTGCTCTCATTGCAGTCTTTGTAAATCTTATGCGGCGAGGTCACAATTTATTCCACGGTGCGACTCTCGTACCAATGTGAGAAAATGAACAGAACTTCTTTTCTTTTTTGGGTTATGGTCCGTCATGGAAATCAAACCTTACTGTACTCAGCGAACCACAGAAGTGTGAAATTGTCAAACAAATTTCCCAATGTGGGTTCTGGGGCCTATTTGGGGGAGGAGGATGACAAAAAAATCTAGGTCCCCTTACCCCCCCCCCCCCCCCCCCCCCCCCCCAAGAACCATGCGATGTGATATGGCGACTTATTGGGGTTGTTTCCTTTGAAGTCAGAGTGTATCTGCCTGAGAGACGATCAACCCACAGTACATCTACTCGCAATTCTCCTGTTCTGGAACAATAACAAGGTCGAGAATTGGACAAACAGCCAGAACTCTGGTAGAGCTTACAGCTGCTTAATACTAAGAAGAGTTTGAAGCGTTTAACTTTATACCCCAGCATCGCTTGTTTGGGCGACCTAGCCCGTTTATCCAAGTTTATTGTTGACTTCATTCACACATTAGTGCTGACCTGTGCAGTCTGGATCAAATCTTACACCAGCTCCCCCCCCCCTTCCCCCCTTCCCCACTTTAGTTCTTACGAACTTTTATGAAGTATGTGGTGCAACAGCAGGAGAAGAAGACACAATTAAATATTTTCAGAATAGAGGCCTCTGAGGTAAATTTGGTCACCTTGTTTGATTTTCCCATCCCCAGAATGGCTAGCAATGGCAAAGCCCCACTGCAGAGATAGCTTGAAGGAAAAACTCCAAGAAGAATTTCTGTCCTGTAAAATATGCTTTGACCCTCTCAAACGCCCCAAGGCTTTGCCTTGTCTGCACTCATTCTGCCAAGTATGCCTCAGGGTAAGTCAGCTGTCAGTTCATTCATTTTGTGCAGTTTTGCGGTCTGACAGATATATTTATTCTCTCTGGGGAATTATTACTGTAACTCTTATGTTCATCTGTATGTGGGAATTGTTACTGTAATTGTTGTTATGCTTTTTTATCTGTGGGAATTGTAACTGTAACTTTTGTTCTGTTTATCTTTTCTGTGGGCGTTGTTACTGTAACTCTTGTTGTGCTAATTTATCTGTGGGAATTCTTACTCTAATTTTTGTAATCTTCATCTTTGCGTGGGAATTATTACTGTAACTCTTGTTATTCATTCGCTATGGGAATTGTAACGGTAACTCTGGTTATGTTCATTGTCTCTGTGGGAATTGTTACTGAAACTCTTGCTGTCTTTAACAGTAGTTTTCCTTATCTATGTGGGAATTGTTACTGAAACTCTTGCTGGCTTTAACAGTAGTTTTCCTTGTCTATGTGGGAATTGTTAGAGTATTTCTTGCTGTCTCTAACAATTATGTTCATTGTCTATGTGGGAATTGTTACAGTAACTCTTGCTGTCTCTAACAATCATGTTTATTCTCTCTGGGAATTGTTACTGAAACTCTTGCTGTCTTTAACAGCTATGTTTATTGTCTCTTTGGGAATGGTGAGAGTTGCTTAAGGAAAAAGACAAGAGCCAAGTGAAATATTACTGACATTAAAAGACACAACATTTTTATAAAACCTTACTGAAGTGAAAAGTTAAAGACAAGAGGCAGACAGCTGTACACATTGGAGGATAACATCAAAAAATGAACAAGCAGCAGTCTCAAAGTGTTTACTTCTTCTTCTTCTTCTTCATTTTCTTCTTAAAGTCCATCTCGTGTGACGTTGGTAGTCATGTCTATCCACAACCTTTAGTATCATGTACTTGCAGTGAACTCTGTCACAGGTGATCTTCCATGCTATGGTGTCAAACTGTTCAGCATCTGTTCTCTCTCACTCTGCCTCTCCTCCCTCCAACTTTCGTACAGTGTACTTGAGGTTTCTCCTTCTCTCATCACATGACCAAAGAATGTAGGTTGTCTCTTTCTGATGTGGGTAATCAGTTCTCTTCAGAGTGTTTACAGCCACTGCAAAAGAGAGAGTGTTGCAGCCAGTCTTCATTATGGAGATGGCACCTGAATGATGGATTGGATTAATATGTGTGAATTAATTATTTTTGTCAAAACCTGTAGGTGTCTTTTCTGCTCCAGACAGTTATGTTATTTACTGTTTAAATTGTTACTGCAGTGTATGTTCATGCTCCAGAGAGTTGTAATAATATTCACTTTGTTTTGTTTGAATTGTTATTAACAACATTTGGTGAGTCAAGAAATTGCCTGGCTCACTGAAGGTCATGGGCCGCTCAGTTCACGAGTCTGCAGTTTTTACAAAGATTCCTGGGGGTCGTTTCTGCAGCTACAGAGTTCATTCTTTGTGCGGCGCTCTTAACGGATGCTAACCATTCTTTAGAGAGTGATGAAGGTTAGTTGTGTATCCTTTACAGGACGTTGCAGAACCAACCCCAACAGCCCCTGGCTGTTGTGTGGGTTTTTTAAGGCAAATTTACCTCCAGTAGTTTGCCATTGCTTTCTGGACGGTCGGCTTTCTTGATACCACTGTCGAAACCAACGCAAGGCGCATGGCCTGCAGCTGAGATCGGACCCGGCATCCCGTCATTACGAAGCGTTGGCATCGACTTAGCCACAGAACCGATTAGTGATGGAGACATATGGAAAAAACCCAAAGTAATGAAGTTGATCCTTTTATAGGACATTGCAGAACAAACCCCAGCATTTGTTTGTGGTGTGGTGTGGGGTGGGGTGGTGTGTGGTTGTTGTGTTGTGATTTTTCTAGGCACATTTTATGTTCAGTAGTTTGCCACTTCTTTCTGAACGGTCAGCTCTGGGTACCACTGTCAAAATCAGCGCAAGATGTTCTGCTTCAGATCACCTGGACCTGGGATTGAACACAGCACCCCGGCATTATGAAGCACGCTCACAAGGCGTAAGCTACAGACGCTGACTTTACATTACAATACTAAAAAAAAATGTTTCTGCCCTAGACAGTTGTTGTGTCTGTCCACTCTGAATTGTTACTGTAACTATTTATGTCCCATACAGATGCAGTATTCATTAACTCTGAATTAAAAAAGCAACACTCAACAGTAACTACCTATTTTACTAGGGAAAATGCTTGTTCATGACCATGCCTTTTTGTCTGCACAAATCTGGACAGAAGCTGTTTGTTATGGGCACTTCAGTGGAGAATAGCATTTTGGGATTGGTCGCTTCTGTCCAGATTTACGCAAAGATTCTTTACCGATGCCTTAAAGCTACCAGCTGTTATCTGACTTTTCTATGTGAATGTTCCAGGACTACGTTCGACGAAACCCTGGAAACCGCCCAGGCTACTTCCCTTGCCCCATGTGTCGTAAGAGCACAGAGGTGCCGGCGGAGGGAGTGGCAGGTTTTCCTGACAATTTCCTGCTCACCAGCCTAGCTGATACCATACATGAGGACACTTTGGATCCATCCCTTGGACATCAACAGCATCAGACAACCCCACCACGTGACTTGTGTCCTCCTTCCCCTAGGGAACAGAGACACAGAAATTATGAGTAAGTTATTGATGTATTCTTTCTGTGTAGGTCCTGGAGCCCCATTTGGAAGGGGGAGGGGGGCGGGGGTGGACCCACTGTCCCGTAACAGGCATGTTGTAAAAGGCGACCAAATTGAGTTTTGCTGAAGTTGGACGTGTTGGAGGTGAAAGATGCAGATGTTGCATCTTATCTGTAAGCCACAGTGTACCAACTACCCTTTTAATGGTAAAAGAACGAACAAACAAACACACTTTATTTTCCAAATTGGGCACGCAGGCCCGTCTGACATTCGGCCCTTCTAAGCACTCATTTTCAGAGTACCATTGCCTGTTATCAGTAATGCAGATTATGGATATAATAAAGAAATAAAAATTATAGAATAATGCATACACACATCATGTGTACACAATCGTACACACTCACACACACGTATACATACTCCTACTTTCTCATACATGCAGACTCATATACAGACATGCATAATACATACACACACGCATCTAGAGAGATGAAGAAGAAGTCCTTTTAAAGATTTCATTCTGTAGATTTTGTTACAGAAGATGGATAAGTTAGTTTTGTTATTTCCCGCTGTCCTCCTTGGCTAATGCCTCAGCACTTTCATTGCTGCTATTGATGGGGCAGTGCGATAGAATCCACTGCAGGTGAATTTCTGCCTTTTGGGGTTTTTTCTTTCTCTTTTTGGAATGCTGTGTTAGACTTTATATTGGGCAACTTTGTTAGGCTGTCTAGCGGTGGTTCTCAACCTTCCTAATGCGGCGACTCTTTAATAGGGTTCCTACAATTGCTCGTAATGTGGCGACCCCCAGTCATACAATTATTTTCATTGCTAGTTCACTTTAGTGTATGGCTGTCTGAGCCTGTAGAATCTGCCAGAAAAATTATTCTGCCTGCAGTGGTTGCAGCTTGTTTATGTACTGTGCTGTCAACAGTAGGGCTGAGAGTTCTAAGGTGTGGAAATGGTCCCCCCCCCCCTCCTAAACCTAAACTATTAGCAAACTTTTGAACACATGTTTAACACATTGCCAATTATAATTTCAGTTGGTACTTTGGCAAAGTCAGCCGCAATGCCTCAGAAGAATGGCTACTATCACCTGGTCACCTAACTGGAACATTTTTGATTCGCTTAGGAGAAATGACCCCAGGTACGCTTTCACTGCTGCTTACATATCTGTATTTGCATCTTTCTGTGCTTGTTGTCGCCGTCTGTGGCTTAGGTGTTGTGAACACACTTCATAATGCTGAGGTAAATCGCAGCTGCAGACAGTATGGCAGCAGACTAGTCCTACGTTGGTTTTGGCAATGGTTTTGAGACCTGACCGTGCAGAAAGCACTGGCAAACTACTGAAAGAAAAAATGCCTATAAAACTGCACCGAAAATTTGCCTTTAAAACTGCCATAGCTAAAAAATGCTGAGATTGGTTTTGCAATGTCTCCTAAAGGATACACAGTTTTTTGTGTGTTGTTGTATGTTAATGGCCTTGCCGAAGAGGAAGGGGGGGGGGGGGGGGCACTGTGTTAAAGGGATTCAATCATTTGAATTGTGGTGTAATTTTTAAATTACACCATTTGGTTTACGAGAGCAGTTTTTTGTGTGTGTTGTTAATAGCCTTGCCGAAAGGGGGGGGGGGGGGGGGGAACTGTGTTAAAGGGTTTCAATCATTTGAATCGTGCTGTAATTTTTGGATTACACCATTTGGTTTACGAGAGCAGTGTTTTGTGAATATCCCTGGAGAACATCACTGGAGGTACAGAGTTCTTGCTGTATGCTCAGGGCAGGAATTAAGATGTTCTAGAGAGAGAGAGATGTGGATGGATTATAAACCAGATGCAGTGTAGTTGACTCTCCCACTTTTATTCACCATTAGTTATGTCTTATTTGGTTAATGAGGAATTGACATCATAGTACTATGGTAAAACCTATAAATGCTCAGTCTCATTCAACAAATGTTGCTTAGTATAGTTTCTAACTATTTCAGTAACACTGAATACAATAGATTTTATGCTATTTTTGTTTGGGGAAAATTCTCCCTTTCAGTTCTGGCATCGCAGTTTGGGAAAAAGGGTGCTGGGGTGGTCATCGATGCACAGCTTCTTAACAAATGTGTCATAAGAGGCAACTAATTAAGAATTTGCTAAAATTGTATGTGAGGGCACTAAAGGGAAAGTTATCACAGCATAGGGGTCAACCACAACAAAACGTAGCAGCTATTTTTAGTGATGAATGCAGAAGAATAAAACGTATGTGGGAAAATACTGGACAGTAGAGGCAAAGAAAGACAAAGATGATATGGAAATGTAAGCTAGTTACAGTTGAATTTCAGAAAATGTGTTACTTAAATTGAACAAAAGATGCTGGCAAAGATTCCTCGATCCTAATGCCTTGATTGTATCTTGCCGTTGCTTCACAGATACTTATACATTGAGTGTGAGAGACTGTGATGAGCTTCGTGGCTGTCTGGTGAAACATTACAAAATTATGACTAAACGGGTGCCAGAGTCAGGCAAGGAGTGCTACTTCATCACCAGGCAGAGAGTGTTCCAGTCATTGGCTGATTTAGTTAAACATTATCAGGGTAAGTTTAGTCACCAGACTGGTTAGTTAAACATTATCAGGGTAAGTGTGGTTGGTAACTAGACAAGTTAGTTAAACATTATCAGGGCAAGTATGGTTGCAAACCAGGCAGGTCAGTTAAACATGATCAGCATATGTGTGGTTCCTAGCTAGACAAGTTAGTTAAACATTACCAGTGTAAGTGTGGTTGGTTGAACAATATCAAGGTTAGTTTAGTCATCAGGAAGTTAGTTTAACATTACCAAGGTAAGTTTGGTTGGTAGCTACAGAAGTTGAAATTATTGGGGAGAATTTGGTAACCAGACAGGGTAGTTGTTAAACATTACCAGGTTAAGTATAGTTAACAAAGTGTGGTTGGCACATTGTTTTTGTGGTACACAGCTAGGCTTTGACATTTGTACGTTTTGACCCAACACATAACAAGAACAAAACTGTAGCAACACTCTTCTCATTGTCTACCAAGGAGGAAAAGTTTACATTAAAATTCAACAATGATGCTGTTCCATGCTCCATTACTCCAACCTTCAGCTTGACAATCGTCTGACATGGAAACTAACTAAAAAGCTATGAGAAAGCAAGATGTAATGAAGAAATTGTCATGCAGCACTTGGGGAGCAGACAGTCGCATCTTGAAGCAGGTATACACCGGCACAGTCAGACCAACTCTCGAATACGCATCATCGTCATGAATAACAGCTGCTCATTCGTATAAACAGGTACCAGACAAAACGCAAAACCGAAGTCTGTGTACAGTTCTGGGAGCCATAAAATCTACACCTATTGTAGAAATAGAAAAGGCAGCCAGCATCCTCCCCTTAGAAAAAAAGGACAAAAGCAATTCTACAATGCGGAAAAAATTAAGAGAATGCTAAACCACCCACTACACGAAAAATTGGCAGCCAGGACCAAAAAAAAAAACGAGTAAAGCGCACAAGCCTAAACCATCTAACTAAGGAATTTGGAAAGTCATTCTCTTCACTGCGTTACCAACAATGTACACCTGAAGAGCTATCTTTCAATCTCTGGGACTCAGAATTATTGACACTCAGTGTGTCAGAATCCATCCCGAACCTGGGAAACATAGATGCTAAGCCCACTTTAGTAAAGAAAGCACTCATAATGGAACACCTAGACATGTTCCCAGAGGATAGCTAGACGAGAATCTACAAAGATGGATCAGCAAGAGGCAACTACGAATGGTGGGGCAGGTGTTTACATAGAACACCCAGATGCCACTACTGTGTCCCTAGCAGCCCCCACCAGACGAACTTGCTCTAACTACAAGGCAGAGCTCTCGGCCTTATTGATGGCAGTGCAGTATTTGAACAATCTGCAAGTCACCGCAGGTAGGATGGTTTTTCTCACTGACTCACTGTCAGCTATACAGGCCCTTGAGTCCAAACCTACCGACAGCACACTACAAAGTCTAACAAAGGAACTTGCTATGTTGTCAAAAAAGGCAGAAACTTACCTGCAGTGTATTCCATCTCACTGTGGCATCAAAGGCAATGAAAGCGCTGATGCTTTAGCCAAGAAAGCCGGTAACAAACCACAGACCTACCAGCCAATATCTTTTCCAGAAGTCAAAACTCTCATTAAGAGAAAATCAGAAACATTGGAAAATCAACTTGGATATAACTACGAAAAAGATTTTCTGAAACACCTGAACAGACCAGACCAAGTCACAGTTTTTCACTTACGTACTGGACACTACAGACTCAATAAACACTCTTATAAATTAGGTATGAGCCAAACAGCTCTCTGCCAGTGTCTTCGTGCTGAACAGACTCCAGAACATGTCCTGCAAGACTGTCTTCTCTTGGCAGAGCTGCGGAGCTGCAGAGCAACATATGGCGAGACCCAGAAGAACTGACAACTAAGCTTTGGGGAAACCTAAGAGACCTTGAGAAGTCATCCCAGTTTATGGCCCACAGTGGATTATGCGCATGGCCAGAGATCGCTGAAGAAGAAGACCCAACACGTCTAGTTTCCGCAAAACACTGAAACTCCTTTATATGTTCATAAATGTGGTGCACTGGGGGGGGGGGTGGTGGGGGGTGGGGGGGGGGGGGGGGGGGGGGGGGGGGGGGCTCACAAGAGTTAATGTGAATAGACCATAATGAGATGTCTTCCTCACTTGATGTTTTAGTGTGGGTTCTGGAGCCCCATTTTGGGAGAGACAAGAATAGAGCCACTGACCCACTGCCCCCTTAACCAGCATGTTGTAAAAGTAAACTAAATAAGGGTTTATTTTTCCAAATGGAAGTGAATCTGCCTGAGAGGCAAGGACCCAGCAGTCTGCATACAAATAATCCACATCTGTAACAGAGATGTGCATGTGGAACTAAAGTTCTGCAACAAGACTGAAGTCGAGAAGTGGATAAACAGCCAGAACTTTCCACCAGAATTGTTAACTGGTGAAGGTTAAGAAGAAGAAGAAGACTCTTCCTGGTTGTAAAGTGAGATGCCTTTCTCTATGCTTGAAATGTTTCATCTCTGGCAGAATCTGCTGATGGACTGTGCTGTAAGCTGTTGACAACCGTTGCCAAACCAAGGTCTCTGGTCTGGGCCATGGAAAGAGGCAAAGATGATGAGTACATGACAGAGAGAAGCACATTACATCTCATCAGGCGACTGGGCAGCGGGCAGTTCGCAGAAGTATGGCATGGTTAGTCAAGAGGCTGTTTTGTTTTTATTTTAAAATTATCTTTACTATTCTTCTGCTTCTTCTTTTTGCCCTACTGTTTATGCCACGAATGTCACAGAGAGATGTAGTTTCCTGTCATTTACCTGTTGCATAGCTTGTGTTAATGCCTATTGTCTTCTGTCATGTGTCATTTACTCCCTCCACCTAACTCTTTCTTGGTCATGCTGTTGCCTTGTAGCCTTGCATTCTCATTTAGTATGCTCTAGCTGCTGGCTGAGTTTGTTTCATTCTGACCAGATGACCTAACCATTTGATTCTTTGATGTTCTTTGAAATTGTTTACTGGTACTGTGCCAGCCATTGTATTAAGTTCTTCACTTGTGACTTTGTTGTCTAGTTTCTCCTGCCACATTTCTTATGCATCTCATCTCATATGTTGTTGTTGAAATTAATCCTCAGACCTGGCAAGGCAGCTTCAAAACGAATTGTAGAGTTTGACGTAAGGATAATGCTGTTGCTGAGATATCATACAAAGGATTGTAGATTTTGAATTGATGTTGCATGTGTGTATATCTATAAGTACATATGCAATATATCTGTGTGCGTGCGTGCGTACCCACATGTGTGTCTGTGCATGTTTACATGCATTTTTGGTTTTACCTGATATCATATTATGTGGGTTCAGTGGCCTCATTTTGGAGCAAAAGAATAGTCCCCAATGTTCTCTCCCCCCCCCCCCCCCCCCCCCCCCATTCCCCCCCCCCCCCCCCCCCCCCCCCCCCCACAGATCACACACAATCACACATGACGTAAAAGCGAAACTGAATTTTTTTCGAAGCTGGAGTGCAACTGTTTCATGGGTGACGAATCTGCAGTATACGTACCAATAAGCCAGATCTGTAAAATAAATGTGCACCCAAAACTAAAGTTCTGGAATGAGGCCAAAATCCAGAAAAGGATGAGCAACCAGAACTTTCTGCAGACGTTTATAACAGATAAATATGAAGAAGAAGAGCCTATGAACACAACATGCCGTATAGATGAAATACAGTTACTGTGTGAAAGATGAGTGTTTGGAATGAAAGATCATAAGACAGGCCTGCGTGCCCAATTTATGACCCTTTAAAGGTAACTTCAATTGAAAAGAGTGTCTCCATAGCTGATTAGTCAAGTTTTTTGTCTTGGGTTCTGAGGTGATGTGTTTGTTTCACAGACTGTATTGTTTGACTCACAGTGCATTATTTACATAGATTCTCTGGGATCATTGCTGGAGCTGTGGAATTTGTGCTGTGTTCTTGACACACTAAATAGGCGATCTGAAGAGAGAGAGAGAGAGACACCCGTATGGGACGAAGCCCCCGTACAGTGCAGTCAGTATTCTCAACTTTAAACCTTTTCTTCCCTGTGGTGGTTCCGAAAGCCCAGCTTGGAGGAAACAGGAATAGACCCACACTCCTCCAGCCCAACCCAACAAGCATATTGTGAAATGTGACTGGTTCAGGTGAAGCTAAAAATCAGATATGTTGAGCTAAAAGGCAAAATATCACAGCCTAGCTGTAAATCATGACACATTGTACTAACTGACCTTCTAAAGTAGAAAGAAGAAAGATTGTATCTGTTATGTAACATGTTGAATGAGAGAAAAATGACATAATAACAAATGCCCATACGGACTCAAATGACTTTTAAACTGTCTACAGCAAAGTGGCATGGGTCAGTCGATGTGGCGGTCAAGGTGCAGAATGTGGACAGTGTGACCACGGCAGCCTTTCTGGATGAGGCTCAGGTGATGAAGACACTGCAGCACCCCAACCTTTTGGAGCTGAAGGGTGTGTGTTGTGAGATGCAGCCCTGTTATCTGCTAATAGAGTACATGCCACAGGGACAGCTGTCCAAGTTTCTTCAGGAGAAGGGCGACACTCTAGGGCTGTCAAAGTTGATACACATCGGGGCCCAGGTAAGCGTGGTGTGCTGTTTTCTTCGTTATGGTTAATTCTGCAATGGCATGAGTTGTCGGGTCTGTGGCCACAGCCTTCCATGACATTGCCTTTAAGTAATTGGGTAATTAGAGTTCAAAACCTCATATCATACGGGTCACCCCATAATTGCACCATTTCTGTGCCACTGAAAACCACACTTTGATGATGTGGATAGACATGATTACCAATGCCACATGGCATAGACTTTCAGAAGAGGTATAGACCACCCACCATTTGATGGAGGATGTGGTCAGCATGACATGGCCACCTTTACTTCGCAGGACATTACTTAGTTTCCATTTTGGGCTGGGTGGATCTAGGCCATAAATTGTAGTTGAGGTTGTTAAATTTCACTTTAGCCAGACAACCGCATGCTTGTTTTCGTTTCTTTGCCAGTGAAAATCAGAAAGAATGTCTGTCATTGTCCTGAAAAGCTGTTGAACCAACAATTAGTCTTAGCACAATCCAGAAATATGTGCACACAATAAATGCCGGAGGCAGTTGCTAGAGGCATCAAAGCCAACTGTCGCCAACCAGAAATGCAGTTTGTGGTTGATGAAAGTAGCTGGTCATGACAAGTTAGCCATACACAGGGAAAATTTTTTACATAAGATATTTTGCCAACCCATAGAAAAACTGACTACCTGCCATACAGTATCACGACACAACTGCTGCACAAATAAGAGGTATTCCACATGAAAAACATAGCTCACAGTGCTGCACCAAGCATTTTACTCAGGAGCTTAGGCAGTAAAACTACAGACTTCTGTCCACATGTAGAAACTGCATTAGTAAAGTGCTGTCAGAAGCAAAATTAACTTCGAAGCTAAAGATTCTGCCATGCCTGTCTTCCATATTGGGCCCCAAGACTCACATACTAACCACTCTTGTTCTATACAGGTGTATATGTTGAAAATGTGTACTCACTGGAGGTGGCGATTTGAGATGAACAAATAAGATTCTTAAAATGTACATAACAACCAAGAAGAGAGACTGGGAATGTTGTTGAGTTCCATTGCAGGCACCTTTGTGTGTATGTTTGTGGATAAAATAGCACCAGATTGTTCAGATTACATCTCCATGTGGGTTAAGAGGCCCCATTAAGGGGGGGGGGGGGGCTAGGATAACATACAATACAAGGAATTGTGGATAGAACAAACCAACAGTAAACATTCACCAAACCTCATCAGAAGATAACACACAATGATTAGCCTTCTAAAAACAGGACACTGCAGGCTCAACTATCACATTCAACATCTGAGCACATTCTGTCTTCCTGCCCACTATATTTAACCTGTGAAAAGAGAGCTGTCCCCAAGAGCAAAGTGTGCAGAGCAAGCTGTTGGGAACCAAGCAGGATCTTCTGCTGACATGTAAGTTCATAGAGGCAGCCCACCTGACAGTCTGAACTGAGCATACAAAACCGAACATCAAGAAGAAGAAGAAAAATCCTTATCAAGAAAAAATATTACCCTGACAACCAGGTCAGTCCAGTCTACAACAGGGTTCCCAGAAAATGTTTCATCAAGTAAAGGTTACCAGTCCCACGCTGACCAACCACCAACCACTGAACACTTATTGGTTTATTAAAAATATGGGCTATTTATTTGCTCGTTTCCTTTCCTTTGGAGTTAACAAAGAGAGGGATCATGCTTCATGAGCATCCATGACTTCTGCAGTACCTCCCAGGTTGTTGTTGTTGCTGTGGAGAGGAAGAGCTTTATCCCAGGTTTTAGTTGGTATCTATCACCATAGGATCTGATTGTAATGGAACACTATCATCTGGAAAAGTGCCAGTCTGCGCCACCCCCCCCCCCCCCCCCCCCCCCCAAATCCCCTAATGCATTTACTTGATACAGCTCAAAATATGAAGTGGTCCTTGTTTTCTGCAGTGTATGCTGTTCCTCTTTGTTCTGTTTGGTTCCTGTTGTTAGTGCCAGTATCCACCTAAGCCTTTCATTGCTGCACATCAACAGATAGCAGATGCAATGGCCTACATGGAGAAGGAGAAGTTTGTGCACAGGAACCTCGGAGCCAGAAACATTCTTGTTGGGGAGCAGAATCGTATCAAGGTGGCTGGGTTTGGCATGACCAAGGCTGTGGAAGATCCAGATTTCAACTTTAGAAAAGGTAGTTTAAGTTTAGTAATTTAGTAATCTGTTGTTGATTATTTTTTTTTGGGGTGGTGCTGGTTTGGGGGGGGGGGGGGGGGGGGGGGGGGCTGTATTGACATTATTTGCGAACAGTGGGGAATGGAGAGTGAGAAGCAACAATGGAATTCATAATCTGTTTAGATCACCATTGATCACTGGCATCTTACTTACTTACTTAGTCGCTCCTCTTCTACCTTGGGGTGTAGAGGTTTGCCAGAGAGATCGCCAGACGTCTCTATCAGCAGTTTTCTTTCTGGCTTTGTTCCATTCCAGTCCTCTGTCAGTTAGGGACTGTAGGATGTTGTCTTCCCAGCGCACCCTGGGTCGTCCTGGAGGTCTGGTTCCCTGGTTCTTAGCCTCCCATGCCTGCCATGGTGGCCAATTTTCTCCCATTCTGCATCCATGTCCAAACCATTGTAACTGACTGATCCACTCGGATTTGTAAGGACTGGGTATCAAGATCTTGACATATTGTCTGATTGCGGACTTTGTCCCTTCTTGTCACTTTTACCACCTTTCTCAGAGATCTCATTTCCGAGGCCCGCAACTGGCTTCTGTGAGCTGTTGTCATTGCCCATGACTCACACCCATAGATCAGGACTGGTACATAGGTAGAGCGGTAAACAGCCATTTTCGTCCTTTTGCCAATTTCTCTTTTGCTAAGAAACCCTCGGTTTATGGCCTGGAAGAGTCTCCCAGCAGCTGCTTTTCGTGTAGCCAGCTCAGTCTTAATGCCTCCGTTTCAGGTCTAATACAACTCCAAGGTATTTGAACTGGTTAACCTGCTCCAATGCATACTGTCCCATCATGATCTGGTGATTCTTCTCCTCTCTTGAGATCACCATGGTTTTAGTTTTGGAGATACTGATGGTCATCCCTCTCTTTTCAAGCTCTTACTTCCAGACAAGTAAGTTGGACTGAAGGTGTGCCTCTGATTTAGCTATCAGGGCCACATCGTCTGCAAATGCCAGCTCTGATATACAGATTGGTCTCATCTTCCAGTACTCTACAGAGTACTTCTTTGTCTTCTCCTTACAGGTCTTGATGACATTATCCAACATTAGAATGAAGAGGTAATGCGAGAGAATATCATCTTGTCTAACACCGCTGGTGGTCTTAAATTCTTCTGACTTTTGGTCTGCTGTTCTTACAATCACTGGCTTCATGAGAGCTAATAGACCTAAATGGTTGGGACATATTGAAAAAATGACAGAGAAGTAAAAACTATACAGAATGGAGCTGAATGGTCTAGACCACGAGGCTGTCCAAGAAGACAATGGAGATATAATGTTCAGACAGACCTGCAAACACTTGGTGTCACCAACTGGGGAAAAAAAAAGGCCAACCAAAGAGATGTATGGAGGCAGGTGATATCTGCAGCAATGAACCTCAAGGGCTTGGAATACTGAAGAAGAAGAAAAGGTATTGACATTATTTGAGGCTATACCTAAACATTTGAAGCTGTATTGACATTATTTGAGGCTGTGTTTATATCACTTTATGTCATGTCTGTATGTTGTGTCTGTGAATGTACGTGTGTGTTGTGTCTGTGTGTATATGTTGTGTATGTGTTATGTCTGTGTGTTTATATTGTACCTCTGTTTTTTGTTTGGTGTGTGTGCGTGCGATGTCTGTGTTGTATCTGTGTGTGTTCTGTGTGCCTGTGTGTGTTGTGTCTGTGCATATTCTGTCTGTATGCAGTGCCATGAATTCATCAGAGAATTAACTCGGTCACATCTCTGTGAGTCCTAAAAATCTATATTTACAGTGATCAATTTAAGACACTGTACCCACTGACCAGTGGGAAAATTATAACATCATAATTTCTATGAATAAAGCAGTCTTTTTCAAAGTTTCCTTAGTAGTCTTCATATGAACGTTTCTCTGACCAGGTATGAAGATGGCAATCAAATGGATGGCACCAGAAGTATTGCTGTATAACAAGTACAGCACCAAGGCAGACGTGTGGTCTTTCGGGATTGTTCTTATGGAGATATTCACACACGGGAAGGAGCCTTACGAAGGTGGGGGTCTGACTTAACTTATAGCAGGTGTACTTAATGCCAGGCATGAATGCTCAACTCATTCATTAACACCTGAAATTCAAGATTACCCAAAAGCAACACCACACAGATTTCAAATTTATCACATGCTCATTTTGTTTACACAAGGCAGGATTCTGTTTAATGATTATGGCTTCCAGCAGTTTCAGTAAACAGTGCAGGCCGCTTAAGGCAATCTCGGATGTGGCAAATGTCTTCTGTGAAGAACAATTTCTCTCCACACTCTGCGATCTTCTACAGCGTGTATCCGTTTTTATGCTGACACTCCCTTCATGTCATGTCAAAAGGTTGTCAAGAATCTTGTTGCATTGTTTCCCTATGTCTCTTTTTTTCACAGATCTTTGCAGTTGTCACAATAGTTCCAGGTTCCTTCTCATAATATGAGCTCCCCAAACAATAATGATTGGTGTGATGTTGTCTTCAAGCCCCCGCCTCCGCTCATTCTACATCCATTTTCTTCCACACAGACTTACTCTGCTCTGATTGTTACTTGAACTCCTTATCCTTCATACTGTTTTCATTAAAACTCATGTCTGACCTAAATGTTTATTTGTTAACTTACAGCTTTCTGTGATAACAGTGAAATATTTGCCTGGTATTGAACGAGTTGGGAGCTGTCCTGGTGTCGTGATTTGCCTGCCGATCCGAAGGTCATGGGTTCTGGTTCTGACCCAGCCTTAGATGGGTACCATGTAAAAGCGGCTGGCGTGATGTTGACCACACACCCCACTGAGTGCTGATTGGTCTATACAATTTAGGTGTAGCCTAGTATGCCCAATCGCCTGAAGGCACGGAAAATGGTTCTTAACAGATAAAGTTAAAGCTGTTCTGGGAATGCAGCGGGGAACAAAATAAATCTAAACAGATGCAGTGTGGGAACAGTATAGGTACTTTGTATTCTTTAAATAATATAGTAATAGAGCATTTTTTGACATGTGAGTAGTTTTATTCAACTCTGCTGAGCTCTGTATTCTTGGTATCTCCGTCTCTATATGATTATAATGTGGCCACCATCCAGTTGAGGCTAGAAAAACCCACCATGTTTGGAAATCTAATTCATCAATTTATATTATTTTCTGTCACATATTTAGTTTAAATTTTCTGCCAGGATGCAGTAGACAACATAACCAAACTTCCAAACATTAGAAGCAAAAGCTGTTATATAGAAAAGCCTTAAAAAAGAACCTGGTTTAAATGAAAAAACTACAGAAGCCATCTCAGCATGTGGACAGAGCAGCATCATGTGGCTAAAAGGATTTTACAAAAGTAAATATAGCATAGGACGGATGGAAAGGCTCAGTGGACTGGTCGCAGGCAATGACAGTGCCAGTTCTGAAAATGAAAGGTAGTGCAAGAGACTTATTCATACAGAGGTATATCATTCTCGAGTGATAATAGCTTATGTATTCTTCTTTTATCTTTTTCCTTTTCTTCTTCCTTTTCTTCTTCTTCTGCTTCTCCTTCTTCTCTTCCTTCTTCTTTTTCTTCTTCTTCTTCTCTTCCTCCTGCTTCTGCATCTTCTTCTATTCCCTTTCTTCATGTTTTCTGCTGCTGCTTCCATCCTTTGGACCTTCTGAATCTCTTGCTGTAAGTACAGTATGTTTTAACCTTTTTCTGGTAATGATCATATTTCAGTCCTGGATTCTCACTATTCATAAAATTGACTTTTCATATGTTTTTTTAATTGTGTTTTCTGTGGGCTAATGTCTTGTGATAATTGTTGCAATGACCAAACCAACCGACATGTTTCTGCATGTTTTGATATTTAGGCAAAGGAAACCACACAATTGTCATAAAAATGTAAACATTTGCTTTTTTTCCTTACAGACAAGGCCAGCAAAGAAGCATTTGAAAATTTGCGTGATGGATACCGTATGTCCAAGCCCCTGGGTTGTCCGCAGGAAGTGTACGATGTCATGCTCATGTGCTGGCAGAACTGCCCACATTCACGACCTTCATTTGACTTTCTCAACACGTTTCTGCATGACTTTGAAAGCTGACAGCCTGTTAGTGTTTCATGTCATTCATTCAACAATTAGGGATGCGAATGTTGATCTTCCTGGGACACACTTTCTGTATCTGAAGTTCACCTAAGAAGATTTGAATGCTTTCCCAAAAGGTTCAGACTTTGTTCAACTGCAGGTCATGAATGATAGATTCCCAGAAGAAGGGTTGTCTGCATATTGGATCCTTCGTTGTCGTTGTTTCCTCAAAACACTTCCTGTGATTCAGAATCCTCAGAGGGGGAAAAATGTGGAGACGTACTGTAAATCTGTTTTTTCTGGAGTATGGCAAAGCCTGTCCGGTTCTCTGTGCCCTGACTACAGTCAAGTTGATTGTTCTGAGGGGAGAGTCGTCTAATGAGGGAGCTATGTTGTTAAGTGGATTCTCACTGAAAGCAAATTACTCTCAAGCTGACATTCAGCATAAGAGAAACACCCTGATTAAGTGATATGTACCCTAGTATGACACCCTCCATGTGACATTCTCTAATTTAGATATCTTTGTCATGCACAAGACGTTCGAGCCACTACACAGAAAGAGCATTAGTAAAATGACCAGCGGGCTAATTGCTAGACCTCCGTGAGCCGCATTTGACCCGCGGGCTGCCAGTTAAATCGCCCTAATCTGTAAGGCTTACCAAAATACTGATTCATGACAACATGAGATTCACAGAGTCAGCGTTTTAAGAAGTTTTCACTATAACAGACGAACCCATGTGAAGTTAAGCTCTAATAAAAGGGCTAGTGACATTGCATTGTAGTGAATGATTATGAAGTAGCATTCAAGGTTAAATTGAACCATTCTCAAGCAAAGTCGGTTAATAGTGAGACTAACTGAAGTGGCAGTGTGATAGCAAGCCTCACTGAAGTAACATTTGCTGGTGCAGTACATCTCTCTGGTGACATTTCACCGATGGTAGAAGCCATTGTCCTATGATCAATTATTTAATCATCATAGATACAATTTGTAGGCTTCAGACAGGATACTGTGGTCATAGTCGTAGAGCCTGCCTACACAGAATAGGCATAACAGGAATCTGCTACCTGCGACTGTGGTAAAGACAGACTGACTCCTGAACATATGCTGCAGGTTTGCCCCATCTACTGGCAGAGGTTGCGGATCTGGACCAAGGCAACTAAATTACAAGACAAGCTGTTTTGGGGACTGGTCCTTTAGAAGAAGTCCACTCCATTTTATGATCCCCTCCCCTCCACGCACACAGACACACGCACACAGAGCTGATGTTAAACCCAAGTGAAGTAGATTCATGTTGTGAGACTATGTCTGTTTATTCCCTCGGTGAGTGATGTTTGGTTTAACTACAGTGTCATATGTCTGTGACAATGCCGTACTGACAGAATGGTCATACTGTTATCACCTCGATGAGATGATGAAGAGAGATGGAGAAAGAAAGAGAGAGAGAGAGAGTTGCAAAATTAGGTAATACTGACAGGGTATCTAATGTTTACAATTTTTCAGCTTTACCGCTGTTTCATTTACATATGGAACACCTGGTCCTGGCTGTTCTTCATAGGTATGGGGGGGGGGGGAGAGACATGGGCTACATTTTGGGGCAACACAAATATAGCCCTCTGTCGTCCACCCCCATAAGCATATTGTTAAAGGCAACTACTCGGGGGTGTGCTGAAATCAGATGTGTTTTGCTAAAAGGGGGCAGATATTGCAGCCTAGCTGTAAACCACAACTCGGTATGCCAACCACCTTTTGTAAGGGAGAACACAGGAAAAGGTCATGGCTGTATTTTGTGTGAATATTGTACATACAAACTCAAGTCGTGTGCATGTTTTTTAATCATATACGGGTTTAGCCATCTTGTGACACCATCTTTGTATAATATCTCAGTAAGATGTCTGTATTGCTTCCGCCTCTTTCATTCTTGATGTCTGATTGCTAGTGATGTGGTTATGCCCAAGAGTGTTTTATATGAATTCTTAGACGCAAATTGTCGGGGGGGGGGGGGGGGGGGGGGGGGTGGTAGAATTCTTTTTCATAGTTATTGTAAAACAGAATCTATTCCACATAATTACTCTATCTGAGAATCATTTCACATAATTATAGGTTGGCTTCAGATGAAAACCTTAAAAGTTATATAAATTACAATAACCACATCATTGTCTTGTTACCTGATTATATTGTTGTTAAGGATGTCAAGAGTGAAAATGAACACAGTGTCCTTAAAATGACAGTTTAAAGATGACAGCCGCCCCACTTTTGACTTGCCTCAAAGAGGAGCAGCATTCTATTAGCCGGTGTTTTGTATGTGCGTGTGTGTGTGTAAATTAGTGAAGGGTTGAAACCTGTAGAAATTAATCGGCGAATGAGGGTCCAATATGGCGATGCCTTGCCTTTCAGTCCAGCAGTCAGCAGTCTTTCTGTCCAAGGCCTTTGATGGCTGCCGTTAACTCTGGGTCACTACCTGGTGTGCCTGACCCAGTTGTTAGTCTGTCACAAAGTCACACTATTTGAAACTTCCTACTCCACTCATACACTCATACATCACTGCTAGACATCCAGGCATGCGTCACTTTACTGGACCTGTGAACTGGACCGTAATGGAGATAATTATATAGGATAATTCTTTCATGTAATAATTATACACTGCAGTTATCATATAGAATTCATGCAGTGTTCTTCATCATCATCATGTGCTGTGTCAAATAACACATCCGATCTTGTTGTTTCATCGTACGACAAGCTTCACTACAGACTGATTCTCTCTGTCACTGTTTTAAAAACATACACCATTTTCCCCATCTTTCAGTTAACTCTTTCATTCTTAGCCAATTGTCACTTTAACCCCCTTTATCCAAAAAAAATTTCATCCAAAAGAGTTGAGCAAAGGCAGCATGTGACTGAAATGGCTAAACTAATAATTCGGAGACACTGGATATAATATATACATAAAACATCTGTCTGTTTCCCGTTTAGGTTCCGTGGCTGTATTGTAGGAAAAAAATAAAATAGACCCATTGCCTAACCAACAGCATGTCGTAAGAGTTGACCAATTTGGAGCTTCCTTCGAAGTCGGAGTGCATCTGCTTGAAAGACAAGGAACTCACAGTCTGCATACAAATGAGTCAAATCTGTAAAATGGATGCGCACGCAACATTCAGGTTCTGGAAGAGGACTGCAGTCGATAAGTGGATGAACAACCATAACTTTCCGCCAGAGTTTACAGCTGGTAAATGGGAAGAAGAAGAAGAAGAAAAAGACATCTGTCTGCGATAAATAACATCAAGAACGCCCATGTTATCTTTGCAGTGACTAAGAAGTCTTTATGTGATTTGTTTCTTCCTGAAAGAGTTACACTCGGGGAACTTGCATAATTAGTAAGATTTAAATACTTAACTTCAAAATAAATACTGTCTTTCCTATCTGTATATACCACTTGGAAAAAGGGGTGGGGGGTTGCTATGGCTTGTGCAGTCGACACAGACTGCAGGTTAGCATTTTAATCTCGCCTCTGGCAGAAAAAAATATCTATAATCTCACTGAGGATTTGAACCTGCGTCTCTCGAATGAGAGAGAGAGCCCACCCACTCCTGAACATTCAGAACAGATGGTTCTTTTTAAACTTAGATGGCAGTTTGTAGGGTTTGTAGCCGACTGGGAAACCTTACATTAGCCGTGAAATGGAGGCCCCGACCAGGAGGCCTGATTTTGACCTTAAAAAAGACATTCTGACCTTGAGAAGCCTTGAATTTTGACCGCCGCAATGAGATCGCCGAAAGTGCTGCGATTTTCTGCAGTTTGGCTTTTTGTGTGGCCATTTGGCTAGTTTTGCTACTTTCGTTTACGATCATTTGAAGTATGAGTGCAGTTGATTATCCGCTATTTTCAGCTGAAATGGCTTATTAAATCTAGGGAAGGGCGGGAAGGAGCAGCTGCTTGTTTCAGTTTTAAACTGAGACAACCTTGAAAAAAAACTAAGGAGACCTTGAAAAGCCTTGATATTAATTGGTAAATTTGGCTATGAACCCTGAGTTTGGTTCTTCTGTCTGTTTATCTCTAGCTGCCACAGCTTTCAAATGTTTTTTCCTCATTACAAAGGGCATTGATTGATGTACCTTGCCAGTGCCATTATGTTAACATATTTATGGTTGCATTTTTTGGCAATGTCGGGAGTTCTCGTAATTGAATGTTTATATGTAAATCCTTTTTATAATGTCAGTGTCATGATGTCAAAATCCTCATAGGTTGACACTTTTATAATATCTGTGTTATTATTATGTCAAAATAAGTGAACCCTTTTATAATGCCAGTGTTGTTGTGCTAAAAATTCCTAGGTTAACTCTTTTATAATGTCTGATGTCTGTGTCAGTATGTCAAAATATGTTAACCCATTTATAATGTCAGAGTCATGATGTCAAAGTTTCATCTATTAGCCTTTTATAATATCTGTGTTATGTCAAAATAGGTTGACCCTTTTTTAATGCCAGTGTTATTATGCTAAACAGTCTGTAGGTTAATTTTTAAAATAATGTCAGTGTAATTATCTTAGAATATTGAAAGGTTAATCCTTTCATAATTTCAGTGTTATTTTATTAGTATGTTCATATTGGACCCATTATGTAATGATCAAGTTTTACAAATGCCTGTGCTTCACTATAGCCCCTCACTTATATTGTTTGTTACCAGGAGATATGCTTCTTTTGTGTTTAGTTACTGTATCAGATGCCACAGTTTAGACAGAATGTTTTATTTGAAAGGTATATATTAGCTGATAACACGTCTTACCCTTGTTTGTTATCTTACTGAACTAAAGATTAGTTATATTTGATACCATTGATCCCCGTGTGGGTTCCGGGGCCCCATTGTGGGAAAAACAAGAATAGACCCACTGCCTACCCAAAAGCATGTCGTAAGAGTCGACTAATTGGGGAGCTTCCTTTGAAGTCGGAGTACATCTGCCTGAGGGGCAAGGAACCAACAGTCTGTATTCAAGTGAATCAGATCTGTAAAACTGATGCACACG